CTGGGAGTTGAAGTCCACTCATCTTAAAGTGGCCAAGTTTGGACAACACTGCCTTAGGACATCTGTCCATTCCACCAGAGCGCATAGGGTGAGCACGCTCCAGGTTCCTTCCCTTAAAGGTTGCTATCTTGTGGGTCCTCGGAAGTGGGCCTTTTCCATTGCAGCCCCTGCTGCATGGAACCCTCTTCCCTTGAGGGATGATAGACCCTCCCTTCTGTCCTTCTGGACAGCACTTAAAACCTGGCTCTTCCCCCAGGCATTGGAATAGGGTGAGGTCAGGGTGGGATGAAATGTGGGTGCATCTGGAAAGTGTGGCTGTGGCCCCAGGCTTTTCTGTTTTCAGTTTTACTGTGGTTGGTTTTGTATTGTTTTAATGGTTATAAGCAGCCCAGAGTTTTAAGATGGGTGGCTATACAAATGTAATAAATAAATAAATAATGAACAGAAGGAAGCTATAGAAAAGGTTTTCTCCTTTCAATAACTATAAATCAAAGTCACTTAATAAGCAGCTGATAGAGCAAGCAACAGTAGCTTTTTCACACAATGATTAACTTTTGGAATTCCCTGACAAAAAATGTTGTAATGATCATAAACATAGACAACTTTGATTAACTGGGCTTTGATGCTCTAATGGGTCTTAGCCAATTGCTAAGGGGTGAGTAAAATGGCATGTCTCTTGCTTGTGACTTGGCTGTGAACCAATTGGAAATAAGTTATTGATTTAGATGGATCATTAATCTGATCCCAAAGGCCTGAACAGTTTTTAAGAAGTTTGTAAATAAAGCCCTCATACTGGGCAGTTACAGATTTCAGCTAAGGTAAAAGCATGCAGTCATTTGGTGGTATACTGAGAATTAGAATGGACTCGGCAAGCCATTCGTTACTGAAAGCAAATTTACTTCTTTGGCTTTAAGAAGTAAATCAGAATTTTCAGATCTGTTCTGATTTTTATGTACATACTTTTCCTATGCAGTTGTTTCTGTCCTCTTTTTCCTTTGTGTTCCCTACAAAAACTGCTCTGTCCTCAAAGCTACTATTTGCTGAAACAGGAAAATGGCTTAGAGGAAAGAATGAAATTTCATCACCCCAGCACTTAGACTACATCTGGATAAGGTCACTTAAACCTGTAATTTTTAACTAATTTAGAGCCTAGGTTATCTCTTTATAAAGAATATCATAGCACACTAGGAAGCTATTTAATGTGAAGACATTTAACACTTTTTCAGCTAACCATAATCTGAAGATTCAAAACAGAAGAAAATTCTTATTATGTGTTATGTAAATATACTACAGGGGTAATATGATTCAGATAATCATGTGGGTTTAAAAGCTGAGTCTTTGTTTTTTTGTTTGTAGTGGTTTTTTTAAAGGAATAATTTAGCCTAGATGTGTTTCTGCACTTCCTGGAAGAATGACAGATGACAAAGATATACTCAGAGATGTGTGGTTTGGACGAATACCAACCTGTTTTATGTTATATCAAGATGAGAGTACCGAAAGGGAAGCGGAACCATACTATGTAAGTGTTTGATTCCATGAAAGACCTATAGTTGAAGAACATCTTGGCTAGGTTCACACATCATACAAAGTCATAATGTGGCTTGGCTTTGACTTAGTGTGATGTATCAACCCAGGGAATTCAGTAATTTATGGTTCGGTAAACCGTAACGTAACAAGATGTGCAAATCCAATCACTGTGTTGCATATTTGACTTTAACAAATGGTTGCTAATGCTTTCCTCCATTATATAAATCTTTTATGTCAATAAACATTGTTGGATTCCTATTTCAGGCCAGCATTATTAATGTTAAGTTTGGTAATAGAATTTCATATTGTGATAGGGCATTCTATCTGGCACGTTGTCCCACTTTTCTAACGTAAAGCCAAATGTTCAATTTCTGTGAAGCTCTATGAACCAATCTTTACCAAACAGGAAAGTATGCTAGGCAACAAAAAAGGCTGAAGGAGTATCTTGGGGTATTTACATTAAACAAAAATCCATGCTGTGTAATTTCTTAGATTAATTCAAGTTTCTGACTTTCTAGGAACTGTTCATTTATCGTCTTACCTGATGAAGAGTTCTGAGAAACCAAAACATATGCATACTACTTTGTAAATTTTGAGTTGGCCTGATAAAGTTATTGACTCTCTTTTTGTCTCTGCATTCTGTGATACTTGCCTAGCTCCTCTCCTCTCCTCTCCTCTCCTCTCCTCTCCTCTCCTCTCCTCTCCTCTCCTCTCAAATAGCAGTATGAAAATAAGGGGTGACTTATTTCCTGTTTTACTTACAAGAAATGAAAATTAACAATTTTTCACTGGTGTCCTACAACTGATGGTCATTGCAAGTAACATCCTCCTGCATGTCCATCAAATTCCATTTGTTCATAAAAGAAATATGTTTCTTACTCAGATTATATTTTCTCTATGATGCCTGAAGGTTTGCCTGAATCTTTAAGTAGAATGCATGTAACCATGTATTGTGGATTGTATCCTTTAACATTTTTGCCCAGAATTTTTAACTTAATTGCTTGAATGTTAAGTCCCCTTAAACTCAGTAGAGCTTGCTTGCAAGTAACCATAAACAGATTCAGGCTGTTATTATGAAGTTGAGGCTCATATGACTGACAAACCAGTATGTTTTTTAAAATTATATAACATTTACTGAAATTAATGTTGAACTGGCTAGAATCAGAAGAAATTTTATTAAATAAATGTGCATTGCAAGAAAAAAAGCTTTACATGGAGACACTGCCCAGTAAAGCATAACATCTTTATTTGTAATTCCTCAGTCTTATATTTCTTTGAGGGCTGAAGCACCGATAATGCCTTATTGTTTTAGCAATATCTTATAATGATGGAATGGGAAATGTTCCTTTATCTTTCTCTTTCCTTCTGTGGCAATCCCACACAGTGCATTTTAATTTTTATAGTTTATATTTTAGCCTCCATTACAAATTCTGAACTAAACCCATGCATTTTGTTTTAAATCAGTACACAAAATGCAAAATCTGTTTTTTAAAACTTTCTTTTTCAGCTGCTTTTACCCAGGATAAGCTACCTAACACTTGTAACAGACAAAGTGAAAAAACATTTTCAAAAGGTTATGAGACGAGAGGACATAGGAGAAATATGGTTTGAAAATGAAGGCACCCCTTTGAAATGGTGAGTTAAACTTTTGAATGTGTGTATATAGACAAGTAGCATGTATATCTTTTGGAAATCAGCAGTCCTAAATGAAGTGAAGCATTCCCACCAAAGCTTTATAAAGTTAGATTTGCTGGCAGCCATTTAAAATTTTCTCAATCAAATAAAACATTGTATTGAATTTTTCTAAAAAGGAAAAAAAAAAACCTTGCTAATTCCTAAGCACAGTCAATATGCCAAAGAAATAGTAATAATTTTCTTGGCAACAGGCATGATCTTGAAGGATTGCATATATCTAGACATCATGAGTTAGTTCTTTCTATTAAATAAGATTATAGTTTAAGGACTTAAAGTTTTAGCACATCTGTTGCATAGGGATAAAGTTGGTATGGTCTTCTGCAGAGGTAATTCTCCCATTGCTTAATTCAGGAGTGATTGATGAGATTATCTGCATCAACCTTTCTCTTTTTGAAATACATGGAACCTGCTGGAAGGAGCATAAGTGTTATACTGAAGGTAGTTTCTGGTTAAATGAATCTTTGTTTGTTTCAGATTTTGGTTATGTATCTTAGACATGAATCCTGGTTAGTACACCACCAGCACAGACTAAGGAAGAAATTGCATATAAGTATTTCTTCTGCTATTGCATACCCCTATCTTCTAGGGCATAAATAACCGCAACCATATCCATAATTGAGTGGTAGTGATTGTGATTAAACAAGAATCTTTGCTAATCTCAATTAGGATTTGAAAAGAGCTTGGAATTGTATAGCTTTAAGCATATTTAATATGGTACTTAATTATTAATGCACATGCCAAGTAGTTAGCATTTTAGCAAGGAAAGGGTAGGTAGAAAAGAAATCACGATCCTATAGTCTCTTCCTGACATAAAACATTTGCATGCAACTTGATTATTGTATTATACATTTGGCAAATAGGGGAGTAGTTACTAGTGCAAGCTATCCTAAAATGTTAATCCAGTTATATATAATATGAACAATGCAATAACATCATCTACATCTGCAGTCTTAATATTTTTCAACGTTCTCATAGCATTTATGATTTTCTTTCCATCTGTTTCTTCCTGGATATTAACGCTTATAGCATTCATTTCATAATTTTTATTTTTAATTGTAATCACTCTATTAGCACTATGCTTGTCACCTACTTTCAATATAATTTTATATTTCGATCAAAAGCACTTTCTGACTTATCTTCCTGTTTTAATTGTAAACATTCCTTGCTCTCCTTGCCTATAATTTTGGTAACCATCTTTTTCTCTCTCTGCACATTTTACGCAACATAGTTCTCTCATACTCACTTTTGGGGTTATCATTTTCTTGTATGCATTGTTTTACTTATCCACACCCTGTTTGACATCATACGTTTACTGAGCATCTTTTGTTGTATTTCCTAATAGCCAAACTCCACGCACACTTCTCTGTAAAATATGTTTTTTCTCATGTTCCAAGCAGCTTCCACATCATCTTTGCCTACATCAACTTCTGTTCATGCTGTTGGGAAGTACTTCATACTTTCTTGTCCTGCACTCATTTTCATTCTGATTTCTTTTTCTCTTCTCTCTCCTTTTCTTTCATGTCTTTTTTAAAAAATCCATTTTGAATGCTATTTATTATTTAATTTGTTATTTAAAACCTGTACCCTCTTTTATACAAGCTTTATGAGCTAAGATTAAAAACCTATGACTGGTCCTGTAGTTTATTGTACCTCTTACATAAAATAATTTCTGTGCATCATTTTCTTCAAAGCTCAGTGATCAAAATGCTATTTTGATACATCTCTCCAACAGCTACATAGATTTTTTTATAGCAAATACATTATTTATGAAGGAAGAGCATGTGTTGTAGATATCCTCCATGTGTTGAATCCTTAGGGTTTAAGGTCAGGAATATATTACAACTGCTGCTATGCCAGCTTTGTGAAATTTGTAGTTCCTAGAATCTGAGTTGATGGGGAAAAGAGGCAGATTCAGCTTTCTTATCTCAGTGTTCTGGGGCTTTACCCATAGTTATGAATGGCAGCTTCTAGCCACATAGGACACAGTGCAGCTCTTAGGAACACTAGTAGGGTGACAGCCTGCTGTTTATAATCATACTTGTTCCTACTTACATACTTCTTCCTTTTTATCTCTTTAACCTGTTGTGGGTCATCTTCTTGGGCTATGCTACTGTATACTACTTCATACCGACTTTTTTCTGTGAAGAAAAAATATTCTGTTAAATATTTTTGATAGGTTTCTTGCAATTCTTCAATTGCATAATGCCAGTGTCTTAAGAAATAGTTTTATATTGTATTTTAATGGATTTTATCTCTTTTGTAACAACCCAGAGTCGCTTTTTGGTGAGATGGGTGGTGACAAATTTGATATATAAATAAAAATATAAAATAAATAAATATTTCCTACTTGAAAGTAATGAAACTGAATACTATTATGTTTTTTTCTGGTGGTTTTATTTGGTTAATAGAGCTGTCTTACTGTCTTATGACGTTGGTATTAAAAGTGTATGAGTTTGGTTATATTAAACTATAGTAATCAGTATTAGCTGATATTATCCCCCAGTCACCCTCTGGGGAGATGGGCGGCATATAAACTTAATAATTAATTAATTAATTAATTAATTAAAACGTGGCATGTTGCAACATTGTATTGGAGCCTAACATATTTTTGTGGCAATCATGGCTTATGCCACAATAAATCATTTAGTCGTCAGGAGCTGAAACACTCTTGCAACTTTTTTTTTACTCTTCTAGACTAGTATAGGTACCTTCCTTGAATTTGAAAACTCCGTATTTCTCTGGCTCAGAAAAGGCTGTGTTAAGCGCGTGAAGCTTAACACCAAAACCAAAACAAAAAGCAGACTGTTGAAAGCATAGCTCTTGGATGTGTGTATTGATACCAGACTTTAGTTTATCATAACCAGCAGATGGTGCTAAATAACTACATACAGTACTTTTATCATATATGTCATGTTTAGCTTTTCCTGTGTGTGGTAGGTCCCTTTGATCACACAAATTAAATGAGTAAAAAAGTATGAACTATTTTACTAGGCTGAAGTTGATAAATGATGTCTGTGCTCCATGATTAATATTGGATCCCCCAATTAGAATGGAATTCTAGCTTGTGCTTTGTTACTCTAATTTTATATTTCTTCCATTAATGTTAATGTTCACTTATTGTATTGTTAACAAGAATTTTATGGATGAATTGTGGGTTTTATGACGCTCAGTATATTTTTGAGGATATGGCCAGATGTGCAAGATCTGTCTAGTTCTTGGCCATTTTGTTGTGAAAAAACAGTCTCTTTCATATCGATCTTGACTTCAGAGTCTGTTATGTGCATATTTATGCTATAGTAGATTCCATTTTGGTGAATGATGCCATTTCACTTCTTAAAAAACCCATGATGCATTCCTATTCTGATAATTGGTATTATGTCTGCCTTACAAAAAGTCATTTATCTCAAGTTTGACAAGAGGGCTAGATTAATTAAGAAATCCCACAACTTTCAAAATTCCCTACACTTAGTAGGGAAATCATGAAAAATATGCCTACCACAGAGATACAGTTCTACAGCTATGTAATTACATGCAAAATATATGATCTTAGAAATTGTGTGTCATTACTGTAATGTAAAAGTTTCATTGTCTTATAATAATAGTACAAAAACAACTTTATTTTTGGAGAGGGTATTATCCTAACATTGCAGCCTTATGCGGTATCTTTTGCTAAGATATTTACAAGAGCAAAATTAAGGTTTGAATAGTAGTAGGATTTCTGTGGCAAATCTTGTGTCTAATAGTGTATCTTGCAGCTTTAGAGAATCCATCTCCCTACTTTATTAGTTTAAGTATTTATCACTTTCAGTTTCTGTCAGCATCAGCCGTGAAGTTTGACAAGTGCTACCAGTAAAACTCTCAGAACATGAGGTTAGACATGGGTTAGAATTTTTCATTTGACCACTTTCTGAAAAATCTAAAAGACAACATGTCTCTTTGGAGTTGAAGGTTAACTTAGAAGAAGCCTTTGATTTACTTTACTTTGTATATGTAGAGGAGTCAACGTTTTATCTCTTTTTTTTTAACCTGGGTTCTTTTCTCCTGTAAAGCCATTGCAAATTTTCCTGTATCTGCAGGATTTTAGCTAATCTAATAGTAGGGTTTTTTTTCTCTCTTTTTTACAGTGGTTGATAGAATCCTAATAAGACACAAATTTGTTATACTTTTGCTTTACTGAAAACCAAAAAGACATAAGTAAAGAGTTCTCTCTGACAAAATGGTGCTGTAAAATAGAGAAATGGTTATTTTTACTAATCCAAATCTGATGCAGCCTTGTAGTGCTGGTGGTAGTTTACATATAAAATTATGGATCTTGGATATTTTAATATAGCTGCTGTAATCAACTTCAGATTCTTGACACCAGACCCCTGTAATTTCTTAGTAACATATGATAGCTGTGCAGTTGATACTTGACTTATGCAAGTGATGTAAAAGAATTTTCAAGGTGGTACAGTGAGCAGTGAGTTCTTTCCTCAGTGTGATGTGGATAGATTTTTGTTTCTGGGGTATGAATGTTTCATAGACTAAACTAACTTAGAAAATGAATATGTGTACATCTGTAGCTGCTTTTGCTTGTGTTGCTGCTTCCCCAAAGATTCCCACTAAAAGTAATGTGTTATTGCCTCAGTTCTTATTTAAAAACATATTGAAGTGTGTTCATAGGCATGTCAAATTTGATAACTAAATTTTTATCTGGAGATACCAATCAAATCATTTTCTCTATCATTCAGCTTAATTCTGTTGTTATGCCTATGATGTTAGTATATCTGAAGGTCTGACATCTTTGGAAATGATAGTGGGAGAGGAGGTGTGGTTATTTTATTAATATACCTAATTTTCTGTAAGAGTGATGTCACTTTATCTGATTTAAGCAAATGAATTTTACTGCCAACTAAGCAACAGAAAGCAGCTTGTATTCAGTTGAGAGGATGCATATGGCCCTTCCTTTCTGCTCAAACTGCTTTTGTTTATTAAAATGATCAAACCAGGAATGTCAAAATATGTGTAAATATAGAATTTCTGGCGTGCCAGAGAAATGCATGCAAATTCTTCTTTTCATTTTTCAGATAGCACACTTTTTCATTATGACCAATTTGGATAAAAAGTGGCTAATTTTAAGTGCATGATTAAGGCACACTTTCTGAATCTGAATCCCTTCGGGAGTTTGTCAACTATTAGCAGAACTAGTTAGCATGGCTGATGGTTAAGAATAGTGTACAGTACATCAAATAGCTGAAGGGACTCAAACTGGGGAAAGATGAGTTTAGGAAACCAGATTTAAATCATGGTTTTTGATCCTGGATTATTGTCCTAAACCATAGAAAAAAATAAGCACGGTTCCAAGTTTGCAAACAATAAACAGTTGAAAATCAGAGCAGAAACTTCCAATTCCTCACAGCTGTGCTAGAAAAGAATTCAACATTTATTGCTAAAATGAATTTGACTAATGGCCTGGTTAGAATTGTGGAGTCCTTGGGGTTCTCTGAGCTTGATTGTTTCTATTCTCTTCTACTGGTTAGAATTGTTTTCCCAGAATCACTAGGGTAGCTGCCATTGGCAGCAGCCATCATGCTGGATATGTGAGCATTCGCTCTTTGGGCCATAGTGAAAGCATTTAGTGGTACGAGGATGTGATTTGATCTTTTTCTGCATGCAACTGATTTTCAAACTTATGACTCCATTCTGTGCACAATGATTGTTTGTTTGTTTATTTATTTATTTATATTTCAAATTTAGATGCTGCTCATCTCACGAAAAAGTGACTCTGGGTGGTTCACAATAAAACAACAATAAATATTAATTAAAATACAATAAAAACAATATAAAATACAGTAAAAATAGAAAAAAACCAGACACAATATATTACGTACTGGACTATCAGGGATATAAAGTAGTTGATGAACATGGCTTTTAATTTAGGCTATTTGTTTTAAAGGTTTATGAAAAGTATTAAACCATTAATCTTTTTGTGATGGGATTGCACATTTTTAGCAGTTTTTTTCAATATCAGAGCATAGCATGATGGGGATTGTGATGGCATAATAACTATAAAGGAAATTGAGTCTAAGCATCCAGCCTTTTAACAATTAGGGGGATTTTTTTAATAAATAAAATGAGTGTGCCAAGTCTGATTTGCTTGTCATTTTCAGGGCTCCAGGCACCATAAAACAAGTTGTGGTGTGCTGTTACAATTCTTGCAGTGCAGCTTATTACTATCTTTTCGCTCCTTTTAGGCACTATCCCATTGGTTTACTATTTGATCTTCACGCTTCAAATGCAACCCTTCCATGGAATATCACAGTACATTTTAAGGTATATTTGCAATGTGTCTCTTTAATGTATACTTCAAAGCTATATATTAGAAGCAGGATTTGTGCTTTAATTTCTGGAATTGTAGGGAAGTGGTAAATATCAACAGATAACAAGTAAAGGTTTTGTATATTATCATTTGTTTTCAGAGTAGTATGTTTTTAATGCTCTCCAGTCTCACTATCATTTAAAAAATGTAAGTAGCTGTAATAGTTATCTGGGGACTGAAAAGAAGTACATAAACATTTCTATTAAAATATTTTTGTCAAAATTTGCCTACCCATTTTCATGCATACCATTATAGTTCAATTGCACTGAAATGAAGAATAATTTGGAAGCCTTTCAGGTATATTGAGTTCCAAGAGTAAAGTGTGGAAGGAACAGAATAGTGGTACAAATTACAGTGAAGTAAAAACATGGTTTGTTATGTAAGCAATTGTGTGTATATTCAGGACAACTTGGTATGCATGTAGAATCCAGTCCAGAATATGGGTCTGTAAGATTCTTGGATTTTAACTTAAAAGGTCTTTCTAATATGATTCTACAGTAGGGAGAAAGAAGTTGTAAACTCTTTGGAACTATTCATAATTCTGCAATGCTGTGACCTAGAATGTCATCAGAGCTTCATATAAGCCCTGTTAATAAGAATATAGTAAAGGATATTATTCTTGGGGGTTCATGGTGTTTCCCTTCCCTGATATATTAATATATTTTGTTTCATGGTTTGTATTACTGTTCTGCTGCTTGTTTTGTTACTTTAAAATGCGTATGTTTAATACTTTGGATGATTGAGGCACCTTTTAAATAAATATGTGATAAAATACAATGAAAAATGAAAAAAAAAAGATATTCTCGTTAAACAGATCTCCAAAATAGTGGAGTGTGTTCTGTCTTTATTGATCATACTGAACCAAGGTTTACTGTGTTTGTTGGGAAAAGTTATGCCAAGCTCCAACATAATCAGTTCTCTTAAGAGGTAAGGGAACTAGTTTTCACATAATCAAAAGTGAACAGACTGATACTAGATATGGCCAGTACCAAAACAAGAAGTAGCTGGAAATGGTATATCCCACCCAGACAGAATTGCTTCTAGCCCTTTAAACAGAAGAGGGGAGAGCAAAAGATGCAATAATTGAAACATTGATTGCAGTGTAAACAAAAATAGCATTTGATACACAATGGTCATTGAAATTCTTTTGTAATGGTTCCTGTACTTATCTACAATAAATTAGAAGCCCTTGTGGCTTTGTGTGACTCTTTATGTGTTCCAGTCCAGTTTGCCAGGGAGAAGCCTGACAATGGGTAAGTTGAGTCAGGTATTCAAATCAGTGACATGATAATCAGGTGTAAATTTGAGGAGTATTCCCCAGGCAAAAAACCCAACATGTTGGTTGTCCCCATTGGCATACAGGTGGTCCTCGGATTATGGTCACTCATTCAGTGACTGTTCAAAATTGTGACAGTGCTAAACGAGAGGGACTTACAATTAGTCCACGAAGTTGCAGCCATCACAGCACCCCCACGGTCATGTTATTGCGATTTGGGCGCTAGGCAACCGGCTCGCAGTTACAAGGGTTGCAGCATCCCCCGGTCACCCTGAGATGGCTTCATCAGCTCAGCAAGAAGAAAGCAGAGAATGGAATCCTTTACATATTAAGAGCAATTCATGGTTTTCTCTGATAAGCTATAGTCTTGCATACTAACCTCGGTACTGCATACTGAAAGTTGGCTCCCCAACAAATATAGAGCTCATTAGTCCCTCCTCCTTGTTGGAGACCAGTTGGTATGAACCAGTGTGTTCATTGCTGAGTTATAAGTTTGGTAAAGTATGACATCTCTTCTCTCTCATTAAGCATATTGTGTCTTAATATATTAAGCCAAATTTTCACTTCCCTAATAGTGTTCTTTGGTTTCTCTTTATTTTTGAGTATCTTTTAAATTTTGATTATAATTTTATACTTCTAGAACTTTCCAGAAAAAGATCTTCTGCATTGTCCCTCTAAGGAAGTAATTGAAGCTCATTTCATGGCCTGTATAAAAGAAGCAGATGCCCTGAAGCATAAGAGTCAAGTGATCAATGAAATGCAAAAAAAGGATCATAAGCAACTTTGGATGGGGTTGCAGAATGGTAAGAGCCACTTCTGAGTGAGGTATTTGAATCTATATTCAGTCATTTAAAAAGCCTTGGGGCTTAGGGGATAGTGCAAGACATTTCCAGTTTCTGTTTGTGCTTTAGGAACTCAGGAAAGTGGGATGCAAGTTATACATTTTATAATCAGTGTCCTTATAAGTTATTCAGACATAATTTAGTCTTGTTTGCTAAGAACACTTTGTAACAAGGGATCCACAGGTTAACAGTTTGCTATCTTCTTTTAAGCTGACTTTTGATTAGGAAGTGATAGATCATGGCAAATAATCTTTTCATCTCTCATACCGAAATGCCACTTAGGTAGTGAGATGTTGATAGATCTAGTAAAAATCAAACTTGCAAAGCACAATAGATCATATGCTACAGGAGGGCAGATTTTTTTTAAAATTGAGAGCTTTATTCAGCTCTCTGTTTATTTATTTGTGGAGAGTTGTTGAGAGTTGGGTAGTATGCAAGTTAATCATAATAATAATTTCTCCTGGCGAACCTATAGTATGTATGGGCTTATTTATCTAGGAATCGGGGATAGCTAGTTCCCAGAAAGAAGGGATAATGGCAAGATGAGAGAAAGAGACAAAAGTAGATATGTGTGGCTTCACAGGCCCTATTGAAGGGCAAGTTGGTTACAGCATAGTTTCAAACTCACTCTGCAATGTTTTGTGTTGTACCACAAATTTTCAAACTCATCTGTGTTATCTGGAGAAGCAGTAGTTTGCAGATAGTTGGTGGTGGGCTGCTGAGATGAGTAAGAATAACTGATGGTACTGATCACTTTGAAGCAACAATCAATCACACCAGGTTGCAGAGGACAGGGAAGAATGAATAGCAGGATGAGCAGAGAGGCCTTATCAATCAGTAGTTCTGTTCTTCTGATTTAAATCTTTGATAATGGTCTAGATGGTGTGTGTTTTAGGCTATTTTTATTTCCAACCATGCATTTAATTTATTCTCATCTCGCAAAATTAGAATTATTGGAATCTGTAATAGCTTAGCATTTGAAAAGCTGTGTGGAAAGAGGGCACTTGAAAGTATTAACAATTAAAAAATGAGTTGAGTTGTTTAAGGTTTCACTGCTAGCATTGTTTAATCAGTTTATCTAACATTTTTAACACTAAAGGTTTGAAGCAGAAATGTTGCTTGGCTTGTTTGGAGAATTTTATGATGATCCAAGATAAGAGGTTGCCCAGAAATGTTGGTTGTATAGGTTTCAATGTGTGTCACTGGAAACTGCACCTGTAGAACCCAACAGATAATATTTTGAAAACTTTCAAAGGCTAATTTTGTATTTGAGCCATTAGTAAAAGAGAAATAAGAAAAACTTATGAAACCAAGATAACTTTTTAAAATACATGCTGTATCTTTCAGTATGGCTTTCATTATATATGGGATGATGTTAAACTCCTCTGTGAAACAATATTCATGACCACAAAAAAGAAAAGAAAGTAGCAGTTGTTACAACTGCCTCATGGTTAATGATACATCTGCAAGTTGCTTTTTCTATGAAAGATTGTACACTTGTCTTTCTACCTATGCAGTTCTGGTGTAACTCATTGCTTGGCATATTGAAGCTTCTAAAATTCCTTTTTATTTTACCATTTTCCTGAATTTGTAGAGAAACTCATACAAGCGGTGGGAGTTTACACAGCAAAGACTGATGTAAGGAGACTGAAATGGCACCTCATGTTAATCGCTTTGCTAGTTTACTGTTCTGATAGAGTAAAATGTGGATGACATTAAAAACAAAAGGATTATAGTAATATATAGTAAGTTTCACCCTTGATAATAGAAATACCTACTACACCTTTTTATTCTAGATCTTGTGTTTAATTATATTTTCTTCTCTTGAAAGAGCCTATTTGGAAGTATTTTACTTATTTAGAAAATATATGTTGCGCAAACTGATAGTATATAATAACTGGAGCTTCAATCCTTTTTGTATTTCCATGGCAATAAGCTCTCTGGAAATTATTTCTGAGTGAAATTTGTACCATTGCACTTCATCTCCTTCAACTGATGAGAAAACATCAATAAATTAAAGTGGTACTACTATCAAATCTTTTTGATTTATAATAAAATGGGTTCTATATCAATAGGAAGTTCAGGACCAGATAAGTGGTGCTGGTATATATGTTTTTAAAAATGTAAATGTCAGAGTCATAACATTAAAATGCAAAAAGATGAAGGGTGATGAAATGGAGGCTTAGCTCCAGCTACCCATTGCTTCTCCTCTGCATTTTGTTCCCTGAGATTGTTTTTGCCTGCCAAAAATATTGTTACTGAAAGTCATTCTTGTAGGGAAAATGTAACTAACATCAGAGAAAAAATAAAAATACTGTTCAGCACTACCATACACAGCTGTTTTCACCTATATTATTTCTTTCTTCCACCTCATATAGGTTTTGGGCAAATTCATGTTTAAAGACACCTATCTACAACTGATGCTTTTAATTTAAATTATAAAGCTTTCAAGTGCCTTGAAAAATATGAAGCCAGAATGATAGTAAAGTGGCATTACATAATGTTTTAAATGAGGGCATTACACAGTTAGGATGCCAATACTTATGAGGTCTAATCTCTGATTCTTAGCTATTATCTACAAAATTTGGGCATGTCTGGAAATATTAGTGGACAAGCCAATAGGCCTGTATGAAGTGACTAAGATTTACTTATCAGAAGTGATTCAGGCCATGGAGGCAAATTATTCTCATTTTCTTTAACCAAGAGGCAATCTAACTTGTCTCAGTGAAGCTCTTTGGGTGGCCTCAATCTGCTTTGGGCTGGTGCTGCAGGAGAAGGGTCTTTCCACAATCCCATCACTGACTAAAGTGTTTCCAGTCTAAGCTGCTTCTCAACTGCTTACAACATGTCCTGAAGCTGAAGCTTCCTGTTGTAGCAGACCTTCAGTTCATGAGTGCAAAGGTGTTGTAAGAGAGTGGGATCCCACCCACCTTCTCAACATACACAAGCCAAAGTTCCTCACCAAATAGCTCAAACAAGTGGCACATAAACTTGCTTCCCATCAGATTGGTTGGCCAGGAGCTTTGGCTGCCTGGTACTGGGAAGGCACAAAGGTAGAGCCACTGCCTTGCCTTCCCCTGTGTCTGTTGGCAAACCTCTGGGAGCTTGAGTGAGCTTCAAGCAGGTTGTCACCAGGGGAGACTGAAGCACACCCCCACCCCACACTGGAGATGCCTAGTGTGGGATTTCCCTTCGCCAGCGCTACATTGGGTTAAATAATGCACATATTTAATATATTTACATATATTACATATACCTAATACCTATAAGCCTCAGGGAAAGATTATGTCAGGGTATTTCATTTGTTTGTGCTAGTTCACCCTATAACCAAAATTGCCTGGGCGGATTACAGAGTTACTTGAAAAATTCTTAAGTTTCTGAAATATCCACAGTGGAGGAGTGGATTGTGAAGATGGCAGAATTTGCAGAAATGGCAAAATTGACTTCTTTGATCAGAGATAAAACAATAAGTACTTTTATAGAAGACTGGAAACCCTCTATGGACTTTTTGCTGAAAATGGGAAAAAATGAGTTGGTGATTTTTGGATTTTCTGATGAAAAAGGGTTGAATATGGGAAAAGGGGAATTATGTAATTATATAAGGGGGGAGGAGAGGCAATAAGTTTGTAACTGCCAAAAAGAAAATTTATTTAAATATCTTTTTCTTTTTTCTTTTTCTATCTGTATTGTTTCTTGTACTTTTTCTTTTATATTTCTTCTCTTTCTCAAACATGAATATATAAAGAGAAGTTAAGTAATTTAAACTCATGTAAAAATCCCTAATAAAAATGATATATAATAAAAAAGAAAAATTTGAAGTTTCTAAAAACATTTTTGGAAAGCCAAAAAATAAAATGTAGTAAAATAAAAAGTATCTCCTGATGGCAGAAAAAATGGTTTGCAAAATGGCTGACGGAAAGCAGTCTTGCCTATTCACAAAATAGCTGCCATCCTCTGCCTCTATTCCTGCTTATCCTTTGTCTGGGCAGGTGGGCACAGTTACAAACCAGTGAGTTGCAGCCATCCATCAAAGTTATGGAAATCATTTGGAGCCATGAAACATTCTTAGAAATAAAGGCAAAGCTGGACCCAGTGCTTTGTTTTGCTGCACACCAGGTTCCTGGGCTTTTTAAAATAGTAGTAGTAGTAATAAAAAATGTGGTGGAAAGCTTGATGGGTACCAGAGAAGGTATTTTCATGCAGCTTGGCATCATGTTTGAAGCCACAGATTTAGCATAACCTGATATAAATGCCTGCAGAAACAATTCCATTTTAGGATGCTTGATTTAAGATTATTAAGGTTGCTAGAGACAAATTTTACTAATAAACATACTGTACAACTTCACTATGAGTGTTAAATGATTCATTCTTCTATTAACAGATTCATTCAAATATTTTCATAGCTAAATGGGAGGGCATCTATCACATTCAGAGGATAGGTTGGTCTAGAGAATCAAATTTTGCACTCCGGAATTTCCATTTTATTTCTCACCTTTCTGTCTAAATAGAAAATATTTCTATTTTCTATTTACATAAAAATGTAAATTATTTTTCTCTTAGCTGCCTTATGAAAGTAGTGTATACCATTTTAAAAAATAAAATAACAAAACTGAGTGAATCCTAAGCATTGTTAAATATATATGAGGAAAACAACAGCAGACCTACCTAATAAACAGCTAATTATCATAAGTAGAATCATATGACGAATACAGAGGCAAATATGGCATCCCAAAAAGTGGCATATTAATTGGCTACTACTCAAGAGATAAATTGATCCCAACAACATATTTCAAATTGTCCAGTCATTTACAAACTTTATCAGCAACAGTAGACTAGGACCACCACATTGTATTTATCTACGAAAAGGTTGCTGAAGTGTTGTTCTAACTGGTCTTAAAGAACATATTTTAATATATTTGATTGCAGAAGAATAAATTATCCTAAAATAATTTAATTATGATCCTCCCATTCATAAGAATATGGATGTAATGTGAAATAAATGAAACAATAGCAGTGTAGTCAGATTGTTTATATTTGCTTCCCTGTATTTCTGTACATAGTTGTTTGGAATTTTGCAGTTTTTGTTAATTCTAGTAATCCCTGTTTATTTTCAGACAAATTTGAACAGTTTTGGGCCATAAATCGGAAACTCATGGAGTATCCTGCAGAAGATAATGGGTTTCGCTACATCCCATTTAGAATATACCAGGTAAGAGAATATATGAATATTGTTTTTAATAGAAGTGTTGCTCACCCTTACTATTTGTGACTTGCCAAACAGTAGAGCCACTGAGCAAATTCTTATTACTTTGCCCTACTTTGAAAAGCTTTATGAAAATGCATGGTGCTAAGAATAGTGTGGAAGAGGAAACACCAACTTGCTCCCTCCTGATGTTCTTGGGAAGTGTGAGATTCATGTGCCCCTGGTACAAGTAAGTACAACCCCAAATAAACCGAATGTGTCCCTCACTGGTTTCGTTTGACTGCAATGGTCTTTATAGACTTAAAATGTAGTCATTTAACTTTAAATTATCATTTCCCCAACAAAAGTTTGTTCTAGCTTTAAAATAGTGATAAGTTTAATTAAGTTGTTAATGTGCAACACTTTTTATTCATCTGGAGTTTAATTTAGATTATTATCTGAAGTTTAATGTCAGTGCTTCTTCTGTAAAATTATAGCTTCTTATAGCTTCTTTCCTATCCCAGATTTTTATACAAATCTACACTGAATTGGATTTGAAATCATTTATTCTTTTGTAAAACCATCAACTACCATTTTTAACAAAGGAACCATTAAACTGCTTATTTGTAGAAAAAAGTGACCATGCATTTAATCACTGTAGTGCAACTGTATTGCAGATTTGAGTCCTTGAGTTGTAATTCTGCTTTTCCCTTCATCCTTCTACTATTTGCTTTCTGATGAACATATTCTCTAAGTGTATAAAGTGCAGTCTGATTTCAAAAATAAGTTGTTGTTCATAGCATTTGTCCCACTCGGTTGTAGGATTCGCTTGTTTTGCAGTGTGCCTGCTCTCAGTTTCTTAGAGCAAAGCTATCAGCTCGTGATATGACAATCAGACATTTGACTTCCTCTCAGCCTAATCTGCCTAGTCACCCAGCTGGCTTCCATGCCTAAGAGAGGACTAGAGCATGGGTTCCCCAACTCCTAGTCCGGCACCTTAACCACCTTAACTCCTACACCATATTGGCTCTGATTTTGAAAATGAAAAACACTGGCTAAATAGAATACTAGTGGAAGTAGAAGTACTTCTTGGAAGTACTAATCATATCTTTGTCTATTAGGGTTCTCCTAAGACTCTCTCTCACTAGGTGGCCCATGACTATACAACTTACCTAACTTTTATACAAATTTTAACTCTCCTTGGATACTGTGTGGACAGTTGCTTGTGGAATTCAGACAGAACGTCTCATAACAATAAGGAAAGGTTATCTTGAGTCTGTTTTGATAAAGTGTACATGCAGCCATTATCTTGACTCTAGAAGCTGATATACTGTAAAGAATAGAACCAAGCAGCCAGAGTTCAGTGAGGCAGAGACCCTTGAAGAGGGACTGCCACGGGTAGAGCAGAACTAACCTGGAATGCTTCCTATCCCTTCCTGCCTACCCTGAACATCTTATTTGCTGTTTAGCCTCCTCTCTTATAAAGGTTTTCTTGCCGGAAAAGTAGAGTAACTAGGCTTGGAAAATGTGTTACATTTGGGCTGGATTGCCAGTTTATGAATGACAGAAAAATCCCCCCCCTTTTTTTGTTTTTTGAGAGAGAGAGAAGAGGGAGAGAAGAAAGGAGATACAGGTGTCTCCTTGAATTATTTCAGACAGTTCTAGGAAGGAAGTCGGGGGGAAAATAGCCATTCACCCACTCCTGAAAATAGATATATAGGTAGAAATATAGAGAGAAAGAGAAAGAAATAGAACTTGACTGAATTGTAGAATTGATCTTAGTTGGTTAGCATTAGCACTAGGGCTGCAGCAGTCACCCACAGATGCATTCACACTCCTCAGCTCCCAATACGAAATCCACATGATCAGCTGTATTTTGCTTTTCTTGCTCTCCTTCCAGTTCCTTTTGAACAGATAAAAAGGCAGTGGGGCTTAACGTGCACTATTCCTTATTGAACTTTCAGTTCAAGAATTATCTGGCATTTAATTGCCTGTATACATGGGCAGCTGTCGGAGGTTCTTTCAGGTTGATTGAAAACATTTCTCTCTGCTGCCCATATCCTGCTCCTCCCTCTTTTCATGTGTGGATTATACTCTGCTGAAGAGTCAGGTGTGTGTATTGGGGGGAGAGAAGGTACGACAGGGAATTGTGAAAACAAAGCAATGTAGATAGTTCAGGGAAGAGTCCAGAACTCTGCGCAATTTCCAGTAATCTTTTGAAAACCTAGGGTATCATCTATAGCTGTCCCAGACCCCAAGTTATGTTTTGGCTCTTGGTTTACATACTGCCTGATACAAGTAATGATAACAGTGTTGGAGGCTGGTTTATGTAAGTGCAGTTGTCCCAACAGAATCCTTTCTAGGCTAATTGATATGTTTTCCTTCAAGAGAGCAAAAAAATTCTGCTCATAGGTGAAATATGGTTCATCTGCATATTTGTTGTAATGCTGTGCCTAAGCCAATTATACTGTTTTGTAATAATGAAAACACTTAGAGAAAGAAACAGGCAACTTAAATAAGCTACAAATACAATTAGTTTTGTGGGGGGTGGGTAGCACCACGAAGGAGGTTTAAGATATTCCCAAGCAGTCTGTGTGGGAGACTCAGTCTAAACAGTTGCCATAATTTCTCCCTCGTTCCTGAAATAATGCTGCTCTTAATCACGTAGGAGATCAGGAAAGTTCCATTATTCCTTACAACATATCCTGCCAAATGAAAGGATGTGAGGAAGACATGGGTTGTTGCCCACATATGATTAGGAAAATTGTCCTTAACTATTTGTGACCAAAATCTTTGTCTATTGTCTAGACAAAATTGTAATAAACCTTACTATATAAAAATAAATAAATCTAGCTTCATTCCAGATGTGTGTGTAATTCTAATGGCTGCCCTTAATTTAACCACAGTCTCTGAGACGTTCATATTATTTACCTTAAGTATCACTGACATTGCTTTGATACTGTTATAGACATAATGATAACATTTTACTAAATAACAGACTGTGGCAATTGAAGGTTTCCGTTACGGGTGCTCTACATGTGTATTTGTTTCAGATTCCTTTAGGACTGTATAATTATTAACTTTCAACAAGGAGTAGTGCTTCAAAGTTCCTTAGAACTAACTTTAAAGTATGTATATATAAATAATTACATACACGTACAACAAACTGATACAGTGTATGTAGCAAAGCCTTTATAGGTTACATGAAGGCTGATAATTTCCAATTACTTGTAGTATTGTAGGACAATTAAATTAACCAAGTTGTTGCCATAAGTTGTGGTGATTACCACCTACTGAGATTTTTTTTTTAAGCAGGAGATTATATAAATTCACAGAGAATAAAACTGCTAATCATGGCACTATATAAATCTTCTATCTGTTTGGAATGAACAATGCAATATGAAATCATTACTGCGATGCCATAGGATGCAAGAGACTTTAATAGTACAGTTATAACATAAATTTAGTTTTACAATTTTATTTGCCATGATTTTTTATGTCAAATAATAACTGGCGAGGTGAGATGATAAGAAGCTGTTGAAAACGAATAATTAGCATGAGATATAAATAGCTGCCAACATCAATTAGCCTGAAAATTAGCCACTACTTGGAATTTAACTTTTTTTAATACCTAAAAGGGTTTTTTTGGTTTTTTTCCTTCTTTGCCTAGTTATTTTCTTTCCTGACCTCATCTGCGTGCAGTTTTGTTCCACTCTTTCTTTTCTTAATAGTTATTCTTCCTCTTACCCCATCACATTCCTTTTGCAGTTCTTTTGCTGTTTCTGCTGGAAAAAAGAGGTAAATGGGAAGTACATAGTATGTACAATGTTTTCTGGGTATGAAGGAGCAATGTATATTAGAGAATGGTTGCAGTATGCAAATAGGAATCATTTAATGTTGTAAAGGAAATGCCTT